CTATATGGCTGTATACAGTATGTGTTAGTTTTGCCAATGGTATTGAAAATGATTCGTCAATCGTCATGAAATCAAAAATGACCCTACTTACTTTTTAGTGCACATTACTAGATTGAGATTTTTGTAATGTTAATTGATCAATATTTATATGTATGTATATAAAAGCCTATATTAAAATCTGTTCATCATATAAAGCGAATGTGTCTTTTTAGAAGACTTGGATTAAACCAATTTCAAAGCTTGAAATAATGATTGCCTTGAAAAAATGGATGGACAAAAAAAATTTAACATTAAAATATCTATATGGCAGTATACAGTATGTGGTAGTTTTGCCAGCTAGTCGTCATGAAACCAAAAATGGCCCTACTTACTTTTTTATTGCACATTACTAGTCTTGTGGTGAACAATTGAACCATGCAAGTCAATACACTGGAAAATAAATTGTCTGCCGTCGCTTCCGCTCTGGAATGGCGTTCTGGCTCTGATGACGTCAGTTTGACGACTTGGGGAATATCGTCTTATTAAGTATGACGTAAGGACTGCTGTTTCCGGGTCCAAGCCTCTACTTATTTCACTTGAGAATACTATCTCAGCAGCCATTTATGAGCACTATTTAATTAATATTACATATTTAAGCTAAGCATTAAAAAATTAGCTGTGTACACTACAGTCTCCATGCTCAGTGTCTCAGACACTAATATTTTAGCTGAATCACTGTCAGGCCTTCTGGGATTTCGGTATGGAGATAAAGATTAGGGTATTAAAATATCTATATGGCAGTATACAGTATGTGGTAGTTTTGCCAGCTAGTCGTCATGAAACCAAAAATGGCCCTACTTACTTTTTTATTGCACATTACTAGTCTTGTGGTGAACAATTGAACCATGCAAGTCAATACACTGGAAAATAAATTGTCTGCCGTCGCTTCCGCTCTGGAATGGCGTTCTGGCTCTGATGACGTCAGTTTGACGACTTGGGGAATATCGTCTTATTAAGTATGACGTAAGGACTGCTGTTTCCGGGTCCAAGCCTCTACTTATTTCACTTGAGAATACTATCTCAACAGCCGTTTATGAGCACGATTTAATTAATATTGCATATTTAAGCTAAGCATTTAAAAATTTGCTGTGCACACTACAGTCTCCGTGCTCAGTGTCTCAGTCACTAATATTTTAGCTGAATCACTGTCAGGCCTTCTGGGATTTCGGTATGGAGATAAAGATTAGGGTTATAATTTTTTCAGTTTTACATGACATTGTGAGTGTGTATATGACCAGTTTGTTGTTTTTTGGGGGGCGTCTGGCAAAGCATTAGGACCCAGAAGCGGTAAAGCATGATGTCAGACGTAACAAGCAGATATTCTAAACCACTCCAACCGTGAATCTGCTATGAGCAAGAGGTGGAGAGGAGGTGCACCACAATACAACCCCACCCTTTATTCAACATTCTGTTTCACTTGGAAATCCGGTTCACGTGTACTTTGATACTGATATTTTTCAAGGTATTGAAGTTAGAAATTCCTGTATCATGACCACTAATTCACGTACTTTGTCAATAAGATAAAAGTGGGTTTTGTTCAAATTAGCTATTATCCACATAGATCTTTGATATGAATATTTTTTGGTAATTCATTAAATATCTGTGGCTAAAATTTAACTAGTAACTAGTACTCTGAGTAGTTTTTGAGAGGAGTACTTTGTACTTTTACTTAAGTACTGATTTGACACCAGTATTTTTACTTGTAAGGCAAGGCAAGGCAAGGCAAGTTTATTTATATAGCACATTTCATACACAATGGTAATTCAAAGTGCTTTCACCAGTACTTTTACTTGTAATTGAGTATTATTTCAGCAATGTAACAGTACTTGTACTTAAGTACAAATTTTCAGTACGCTTTCCACCACTAGTAACTAGGAATATCATAATGCATGGAAGATGTTATGCTGGTGCTCAGAAGGAGCACACTGTCGTGCCACTACACCCCAATACATACAGTATGACCAAATAATACAGATGCTGGAGGTACTATGGGAATGAGCAGAAGCAGAACTTGCTTTTTCAGTATGTGGGTGCAAATAAAAAAAGCTACAATAGCATAGAAATAGCATAAACCCTAAAATCTTGCAAAAAAAAGGAATCAATGGAAAATATTTATGATTATTTAGGTTAAAGCTATTTTTCCTAACAAGATCACTAAATAATATATAATTATATACTCCAAAGCCTTGTCTTACATAGTACTCACTAAAGTTCCTCTATCAGTTAAGGGTAAAACTGGCCTTCTTTAGATCAGTTCACTCAGTGATAATGGTGTGAGTCATAGGGACCCAGAAAAAACAAGATATGAGATGTCTAATGTTGCGGTCTGGGTCCCTGGAAAAACGAACTCTACTCCCTTCTCTGAAGTGCATTATAAGTGAGAAGAGATAGAGGAACCGACTGTCTGAAGCAGCAAGGGCGATATCATCTATACTTGACCTGACTCATTTGAACTGTTGAAGATCTTTAATGATGCAGACTTGTACACTCATATGAAAGAGATCATTTAGGGGTTATTATTACAAAAACGTAACAGACTTAAAATTACAGTAAAAAAATTTACTGAAATAATGTTACCTTTCTAATATATAACCACCTTAAAAAAGTTCTAATGAGAAAGCCACATGATGGATCAAAGTTCACCACAAGTATCTCTTCCACAAGCGGAGACAAATATTAATATATATTAGGGCTGCAGATATTTAATGCGCATCTTGTCAGAAAGCCGGTTCTGTAATCAGCGGTAAATCTCCATCACCTGCGTGCAAAACCACGTTCATATTCGCGCGATTTTTTGCGCAGCTCGTCAGTGAACGACGGCTCTGTGTAGTTAATGCTGCTCAATGTGAAAGCCCGCAGGTGATGGAGATTTACCGCTGATTACAGAACCAGCTTTCTGACAGGATGCGCATTAAATATCGCATGCGATTTATCATGCAGCCCTAATATATAGAAAGAGAATATAGTGCCACCATAAATACAAACACAAAACATCATGGTAACTCGCATGACACAAAAATAATCCAATAAACATTAATTTAACAACATAACATGTAAAATAAAACCCTAATTGACATATAAAATGAGAAAGATCTAAGAGGAAACAATTATTTAAATAAAAAAAACATCAAATGTGAGGTGTCCCATTCTCTATGTGAATGTTAATTTACGGTTTTTCACTGTAGATTATAAGATCGCTTGTACAGTTTTTGAAAGTGAAAAATAACATTTAAAAGCATTTTAATTTAAATTTACACTAACTTTCCCATTAGATGTATTACAGTTTCCAGTAAGAGAAAATACTGTTAACCAATTAACAGGTTTTTACTGTAGCATAGAAGTCTTTCACAGTTAAAATGGTGATCTTTTTTACAGTGGTAAGTGCTTCCTGGCACTAAACACTTTAAACGGGAAAACAAAAGAGTAAGCTTTTCAGATCCACACATGACTGAAGAAACAAAGGACGAAGATATGGAGCACTAATTTTCCAAAGGTGCTCACCTCATGATGTTTTAATTTGATTTACATTTTTGGTCACTATATTTAACTTCAAATGTGGAACATGATAATAATAAAGAATGAAAAGCTGTATCCAAACTTTTTAATAGTACTATATATACCACAGCACATTATCATGGTGTGTAAATGGTGCTCCAGCATTACTTAAAAAACACTTGAAAATAAGTAGTATAAATACTGTAGATAAAGAGAAAAATCTAGTAGCCTATCATTTCTAACGTCTATCGCTCGGGGCCATCGTGCAAAACTGAAAGTGGTCTCATTTGGCGTGTAAAGCAAAACCCCGTGAGCCGACATGAAAGACAGAAGCGACAATGCGGCGACCAGCTAGACGCCGCCGCTCACCGTCGCGCACGAGGATTCCCTCGGCCATCTACTGGAAGAGGTGACGTCACGACGCAGAGGTGGGGAATCCCCCTGGAGACAGCGCGTGAGAAAAGAAACGATAACCTTCCAACCAGTGCAACTGCTAGAATAACATCCTAAAGCACGAAAGATGCCAAAGCGGGAAACAAAGCTGTTTTTATGTTGGGTCGGTGGGCGTAATCCACGGACTGCAACCATAATGAGAAGTGAAAATGAAAGTCGTTTAATAGTCTATTCTATTAGTATTTTGTTATATATATATATATATATATATATCTTTAATTGCCTCACCTTATTTATTTTTTTGCAGTGTCTATTTAGAAAATGGAAGCACTTTGGGTGGTTTTGCAATATTGTAAATAATAACAACCATGCTAGAAAAGTATTATTGATTCTGACTTTGAGTATAGGGCATTTTTATTCTTATTTTATTTCCACTTGTCCCTTTCTCACTTGATATGTTTTATTCACCTCATCTTAATTTCAGTATTGTCTATTTGGTACAACAAGTACACTTTGACACTATTGTAAATGCTGACAACCACGCAAATAAAGCTTTATTGACTGACTCTGAGAAGAAGAGAAACGACAACATGGCATCTATAAACCTACTATGGCATAATAAAGAATCCGCATTTATGAGGAATCAACGAAATAAAGCAAAAGAGGTCAAAATCCCTTTCATATCAGGTTACATAACATGTATTCAAGCGAACGGAAAACTTTATGATTCTTCAGACTCTTATTTTGTAATGTTTAAGGACTTGGCAACATACTGTAGTGGAACTAAGTTATCAATGCAACTACTATCGTCTTGTCAGGTCACAGTAGTGACATTCTTCTAGCTTCATGTAAAGGCTCAGATGAAACAATGTGTACATTATTTCCGTCACGAGAGCATCCCGTTCTCAGAATCGAGCAGCACAGATTGTGATCGATCCATCAGCACGAACTGCACTGCAAAACATTATATGACACAGCAACTTGCGTACAATCTTCACAGAAAAACAACCACAGAGTCGCGTCTAAGTGCGTTTTTTCACTGCCTTACAACGCGACGTGGCTGAACAACTTACCCCTCCGTGTGTCGTTCAAGGTTTCTGAGAAAACGTCCCCCGCCGATATAAGCACAGTCAACACGTTATTGACGTTAATAACTACCGTTTAAGAGACTATACGCTTTTCTAAAAACACCTTTTCCAACTTTTCCGTCACTACAAACGCGCAGTCTACAGCGGTCTATGCGAAAATGGGCTGCACATTTCCAGTTTCTCATTGATTGACAGGACTTTGACGCTCTCACGGACGAGATCAGGATTTTGTCCAATCGCTGAGCCCGACTGACGCAAAGGAGGCGGGTCAAAGAGCGAGCGCGCTCGAGTCCGCCTGTGTTTATTGCCCTGGCTCGGCAGGCTCTTCCGCCGGGCTGAGCTTCTAGAGCAGCGCGCCTGGAAGTCATCTGAATTACTGGCAGTGGCTACGTCATCTCAACTTTTAATTCAGTGGATGTAGGAAGTGTACTGTCGTGACGTTTGCGGTAATCATTTCTCCCCTTTTTTACAACACTGTGTACGTTTAAGTGTGCCACTGGCCACAAATCACACAACGAAACTAAATGAATATTTTCACAATATTTAGCAAAGTGCATTTTATTTAAGACAAATAGAGATTCTTAACTCAAATATTTATAAAGCACTTTCCAAACCATAAAAAATTGACCAAAGTTCTGTACATAAATGCAAATTATTACGAACTTATTTATTTTTTTATTGAAGAATGAAAAATGCATTGCAGCAAATGGCTCAACAAACAAATATCAAATATAAAAATATCAAAGTTTCTTGACTGAACTATAGTTTTGTCACTAGAGATGTTCAGTTTGTAGCGCTAAACTCTGGAATAGAATTAGCTGTTTTACATTCATGGGTTCAGGAATTACAAATGGGTTTTTTGTATACCAGTGGTTTCAAAATTAATGTTTTAGGTGTGACTGCCTGTAATTTATAGAACAAAAAACGAAAGTTTCTTCAAGTAATGTTAACCACAGTCCTTTTTTCTCAGAAATCAAACAATATTTTTAAAAACCCTCTGAAATTCCCAAAGGAAACCTCTGGTTCGCTTACAAATTGAGGTCATGATTGAGCAGCTCTGATGTGTTTGTATCAAATTCAGGTTAATCTGTTTTTCTCGCTCACACATTTTGACTGAACTTTGTCTTTGATTGATGCAAACTAATCTTTAACACAATGCTCCATTGTATTTGTACCATTATCAGATAGGATTTTTTTTTTTTTAAACAGACCCTTCCAACCATATTTCCTTGAAGTATAAAAACAGGTCATGTTTACATCTGTTTGCATATAACACATGGGCTTCTAAGGAAACGTCAAAGGATGTTTTGTACAGTCCAGATGCTCCGGTCCAAGTTCATTAGGCTCTCACTTTTTTTTTTTGGTCTCTCAGTGCTGTCTTTAATGGCAAAAAGAAACTGATGCAAAACACATTCACATCTGATGCTGTGTCAAGAAATGGTTCTGGAAATTACACATCACGTGTTGTATTAATACTGAAATTAAGGTCTCATGCACACATGCACGTGCTTTTACTGTGAAGGAATGTTGTGTCTGTTTGTCCTTAAAGGGGTCATATGATGCGATTTCAAGTTTTCCTTTCTCTTTGGAGTGTTACAAGCTGATTGTGCATAGATAAGATCCCTCTCACTTGGGTTAAGAATATAAAAACATATGCAGTGAATAATGTGAACATTTCACTCTTTCACTAAATAATGACAGAATTTTCATCGTTGTATGAGTTATATCTTTCACAGAATACTTTTTACACTTGCACAGATCTGTTAAGAGACCTGCTGCAAATAGGCCTCTTGCTCACTAAATATAGCACTTCAAGTTTTAATTTAAAAATACAAATTTATGCTTTGTTATGCTACATTAACCTTTGCAGAAGACGACAATGATGATGGAAGCAGAATAAAGAACAAGGAAATAATGAACATGTATTTACTGTCATTTCTCGCTAGTCAGTACAGATGCCATGTCACACTGGCGCAATTAAAATCCCCAAACATTCAGAGCATTTGATCTGGTTATTCTACAATGACTTACATTTTAAACATCCTCAGTTATGTCATGTCTTACCCGTCATCTGTTTATTTACGCACTTATCCACACAGCTGAAGAATGAGCAATCAGGAACAAAATACGAATGATTTAAATTTGTATTTACACCTACAAACTGCTTGACTTCATCTGATATGGTTAAGTGAAATAATTCGGAAAAGTCACACAATGTATGCACCTCCCACATATTTACTAGTTTTATTTGTTCACACAAAACAGAACTCATGCACACAATCTTCCCTGTCACTACAAGCCTCGCCTATTTTTGTTTCCACATTTGTCCTGGTGGGAAGTTCACATATAGCTTATACAGTAAAGAGAAAATGCAGATAAACATCAGCTCAGTGGGTTCTAGTTTAATTGTTCTTCCTGCTGCTTTCTGCAAACACACAACCATCTGTTATCCTGAGGCACTGATGGAAAACACAGATGTGCAGCGGTGCATGTTTGTGGTGCAGAGACCAGTCCATACTGCATCTCATACATCATTTATATTGCAAACAGTTTTCTTGCAATGAACAATATCGACATATCTGATCCAAAGAGACTGTTATCTGTCTGATTAAGATATCAAGAAAGTGAATCTTATCAGAGGTGTTAACAAATAAAACATTGTGAAATAAGGCTCAGATACTCTTTACATAATGTAAAATGCTACATCATATACATAATAATTAAAAATAGCTGATATATAATATTGTGTGTGTGTGTGTGTGTAGTGCTATGTCTATTCCCCAGCCTCTTTCTTTTTTGTTCTGCTGTCTTCTGCTCCCCTTTTGGAAAGCACTCTCCTTAATCAGATTCCTCACATTAATTATTTAATGTATTCCCTCATACGACCAACACGACACCACCAAGGACAGAGAACAGACAGAGAGAAGATGAGGGGAGAAGCAGAGAGAGAGGCAGAGGCAAAAACAGCACAGACAGAGAGCAGTCTAAAACCAGCATGCCTTATTATTACTGTCCAAACATGTCATCTGTCTTTAGAAAACAAGCTTTTACTTTTAGAGTAGTACTTCATTACATTAATAAGAATGTATTTGGGGGATTTTAAAACATTAAAGTTAAATTATGGATTTCCTTCTAAATGTATTAATCTCTGGTCTGAAGATATGAGAATTGCTGCATTATATAACTGACCTCTTGTAATATATATTTAATAAGGTTTTCTATTATCTGTACCAAAAGCACTTGTTGTGTTTATTGATTGATTGATTGATTGATTGTATTCAAAGCCTTTAAAGGCCTGTTTTAACCCTTTGATGAACATCATGGGTCTAAAGTGACCCGACTGAGTTTATTTTTTCATAATTTATTTCATCATTCAGAATTCCAGGAATTCCTCAATTAACTTGTTTTTGTTCATCACAAATCCTTATTTTTATTTTTTCTTTCAAAACCCCTCCAATGCACAACATGGGTCTAAAATGACCCTTATTCATTTCCTATATTATTTCAGTTATGGATGGGTGTTTCTTTGCTGAATATCTGAAAGAAATGTTTTTCTATCATTTATTATTCCAGATAATCTTTAAATATGTTGTTTTTGACTTCCACAAATCATTATGTTTATTTGCCCTTTCTTTACTTTATAAAAAACACAGTTTTTGTATTTCTACATGAATTTTACACTCATGGGTCAAAAATGACCCATAGAAACCTTTGCTATTTGCTTTTCTTTTTTTTTTTTGCAAGTAGGAACATATTTACTGCAGAAAACAATTCACCTGCCACACATTTCACAACTCAGCATTGCTGCTTTTGTATAATTGATGCATTTAGTCTTATTTTATAATTTATTACCACAGAAAATATTTGATATATTGTGAAAGATAACTGGATATAATATTTGACTGTTAGGCTGAGGACCTTTAAATCTATTACTAGTGAGACAGAGAAACATGTCCAATACTATTAGCTAGCTTGTTGACATATTCTATTTTAGCTAGCTAATGTTAGCTAGGTTAACAAAATAAAAGTCAAAATAATACGTTATTATATGCAAGTATATATCATTGCTGTCAGGCAGAAACCTCATATCTCCATATTACATCATTTTTATTTTTTTGTCATAAATCAGTGCTATTGGTCACCCTTTATGTCTGTCAGTGTTTCTGAAAAGTAATGGTTTTGGACATACAAGGTTTCTGACAGCGACAATATATAATCAGTATATACATGATCAACTGCTTGTTGAGCACTCTTTATCCAGAGTGTTAGTATGGCTGACCCCAGACATTCTAACAGCTGAAATGTTTGTAGAGATGCTGCATGATGAGGAAGATTAGGCAATTCTTAGCCCTGATTCAGAGTCTGAAATATCTAAAGCTGATGACCTAGATTATGTGTCACAGGGTCAATCTGGAGTTGTGGTTGTGAATCCAGCTCTCCTAGACGAAGAAGATTAATGTGATGACATTGAAGACTTGTCTGATGAGTCCTCTAAGAGGAAACTCAGACCCAGTCCAATAGATTGAGTAAAAATGGTTTTCACCTACTCATCTAAGCGGGAGAACATGGAGGTGGCCCGTGGTGCTGTGGTACAGGTGCTCTCCAGGACAGACGTTGGCCACCCCTGGCCTACACCAACTTCACTGCACAACACCCTGATTACATGGCTGGTGTGACCAATGCATGACAGCTATTCATCAAGGAGCTGGTCAAAGAGCTTGTCATGCCACATATGAAGAGGTGCTTGGAGGGTACACCCGTGCACCTTCAAAACCATATTACAGAGGCAATGGGAAGATGTGGGATAAAAAAACAAAACACGGCCACCACCCGGCCACAGGTATACATCAGACAGGAGGGTCAATCGAAGAGGAAGAGGTGCAGGATCTGGTGTTCAGTGTCAGGCCCGTTTGCAAGGAGCACAAACCTGTAGTTGTCATTTGTGATGCATGTAAGCACTGAGACAGTAAATTGATAGCGCTGTACCTGTGTAAATTTATTTTGTTCGTTTTATTTTCATCTATTCGGTCACATTCACTACAATTCACTACAGTTGTACAGACAGTTCAATTTCAGTGACTATTATATCGTCAGACTATACAATGACTATTATATCAGCACTACTTTTCCATTGAGTAGGTCCCTGTTCACCTAATACTGTATTCATGTGTATATGACAATAAGATGATAATCTTACTTTGAGCATGTTAAAGTGTATATGTACAAACAAGGTAAACCGTCAAATGAATTTATCTCAGAATGAATAAAACTGAATTCTGAAAAGTAACCTATGCAGAGACTGATATTCAGCTTGATCTCATAGGTTTTTAAGAGCTTCTTGTTTACATACATAGATCAAAGATCAGATTACGCCATCTGTAGACGTCAAGTGAAGCAATTATTTCACATAAAGTCTGAGTCAGAGCTTGGATTACATTCAAACCAGTGATTAGACCACAAAACAACTCGCCATAATCACATCATTATTCAAACCTTCAGTTTCAAAAGAAAACGGTTCAGTCAGCAGAAGTTATTTGCAATTATTTCTTTCTTTCTTTCCCTTTTTTTTGCATTTTTACTTCAATTAGAATATTTCGCAATTCACTTTCCCTCACAACAATATTTCTGTCAGACAACATACTCTCTAGCACCTTAAAGTTTTCACTTTCAACAGCTTCCAACAGTTCATTCATGGCATTAAAACAAAGCCCAGATGTTCTACAAGATGCATAAGGCCTGCTATTAATTTGTACTGTTGAAATCAGCAGCCATCACATCACATGATAGTACAAAGAACACAAGGTGTTCATTAAATATAGGCACTTTAATATAAATATATATTGGCAATATCCAGTTGCAACCGGGTAGCCTTGATAACAAATGAACGAGTTAATATTAAGTGTCTAATAGGAATTAAATGCCATGAGAGTGTTTATGAAAATATTCTTGTGGAGTGCAAACCTCCTCACATCCACCTTTTCTGAAAATACTATAATTATTTTTTTTAAAGATTTTAAAAGAGTAAGTGTTGGTAATCACAATAAAAATTATTTGATCTTTTCTGAGTATTATTCAGTTCTAGACACAAAATTGACCATTAGTTGATTTAAAAATTGACAACTGAACAAAACAAAACAAAAAAAGCAACCTTGGGGTTGAGAAGATAATAAGAAAAAATCAAACAAACAAACTAAATGTTCAGCCAAAGGTCCAGTCAACTCCTTTAATCCGTCCTCAAGCACATCTCAGTTCCCTACATCCTTTTAGCCTTATTTACCTCCAGACCTCCACATTATTTTCCTTGTTGAGCTTTTCCCAGGGCTCAGCATGTTGGACTTATTGGCCGGCCTTCTCCCTCGGCCTCACCGTTTCCTGGAACACCAGCCGTGATTGATCAGCTGCCTCTAATAAGGCCTCTATCTCCGGGCTGTCAAGATTGACCAGTTCACCTTCCTCCACCCTTGACACTAGACCTCCTTCCTGCACTGCAAGACCCTCCTGGACCTCCTCATTCTGCTCCACCTGCTCCTCCTCTTCCTCTGGTTCTGGTGTGGGTTCGATCTCACCCTCACGGACCTTCTTGACGTGGAAGGTGAAGGGCGGTACGCGGTAGGTGGTTGATTTGGAGCGGGCGTAGATGGGGTGGTCAGGATTCAGTGACTTCTTCATCTTCTCTCTGGAGCTGCGGATCTTCTCGCGGCGTTCGGTGTTAGGTGTCATCTTTGTTCCTAGCTTACCCATCTTCTTGCCCAGGGTCGTCTTGGTCTTCTCAAGGTTCTCTCGGGTTCTCTGACGTGTCTTCTCCAGGTTCTCTTTTGTTCTCAGTCGGGTTTTCTCCAGGTTCTCCTTGGTTTTCTGTCTGGTCTTCTCCATCTGCTCCTTGCTGAAAGCCATCTTCAGCTTGTCCACCTTCTGGAGGCTGCTGCGTTTGATGCGCTCAGCACGAGATTCCTCTATGATTTCCTCAACCTCAACTTCCTCCTCAGAGCCATGTTCTTCCTCTCCTCCTTCACTCAGCACCTGCTCTCCTTCCTCTCCTGCAGCCACTGGCTTCTTAGAGACCTTCACAGGTTTCACCTTGTCCTGAGAGAAAAGGTGAGAAAAATTAAGGAACTAAGATTAGATTAGACCAGACAGATCAGAATATCTTTCCAGATTCGAACCTAAGCAGTTGGTGTTAAATTATCCATGAATAGCACCATTTCATACTACAGTGAATCAGAGAAACTTTCACTTTCAGTATTATTGTCAGACAAAAAGTAGCCTACTGAATATAAAAAGCAAGTATGTGCAAATACATGTTTCATAAGAGTGTACACTCAGCAAACCTTGCTCCTGTCCATAATACTCAGGGGGTTCATGACCCTTTAAACTAGTTTCATGACCCTTAAACTAGTAAACTAGTTTCTTTTGAGGGCCAAAGAACAGGGGTGTACAGGTGGTGAGCCCAATATTTGAGCAATATTTGTCCCTGATGTTTTTCAATCAGAATAAAAAGATATAGCCTATGCTTTCATCAAAAGTTGGCTAAGTATATTACTGTAGTATTATTGCAGTGTTATACAGACAGGATATATGGACATAAACTATTGATTGGGGTTGAAATCATTTTGTAATATTTTATATCCTGTTCCCGATCATCCTGTTGAGGTATATTCTGCAATAATGCTCCTGACTTCATTATGAGAAGCTAATATCTAACGAGTTCAGTGACTATATTTTGGCTTCATAACCAGTTGGACTTCATTCTGTCTCAGGATTTATAATCACTCTATATTGTTACTCCTAAACCTGTTCTTAACATGTTGTTCTATATCCCTTTGAGTCATTCAGTCCTCGTTTGCAGATCATGCGGATAGACTGATATTTTGAATTCAGGACATGCTTTAACTCGTCTGAGCAGTGGGAAAGATAATCACCATGATTACACGGGTGGAGGAGCTTTGTAGTAAGATAATGAACTGATTTCTATGCAACCAGAATGAGAAAATGTCAATGTGATTAATTTTAAATACGGGCCATTACTAAAATCATATCGAGTCCACAGACGAGTATAGCACTCCCTCTAGAGGGCACTGTAAATGGGATGGTCACATGTAGGACAAACACTTTTAAAGCAAAACATTTTGCAAAGTTAGACAGATACATGAATTAATATACATGAATATATATATATATGATTCAGTCTCTCTTGTGCATTTAGTTAGAGGCGTATGAGCAATCCAAATAAATTTATTACCAAAAAACATCCCAGAATTCCCACGGAGAACTGCTTGCAAATAAATAACCCCATTCAACACCACACACACACACACACACACATACACATACTAGGGGAAAAAAGATGAATGTGCTCTACCCATAAAACAGATGTTATTTTGAGAAGGAGAAGCATAGTGATGGTCTCTTCGCTCAGCTTGTAATGTGACATATAATGTTATTTAAGCAAGCATATGACAATGTAAAGACTGCTGGTTTATTCGTTCTCTTGATCATAATGGCTGTATCCAAAAGTACAACACACCCTCTGGTGGTCAAAAGAAGAACTGACACGCACATAATGCAAGGATCTCTTTACAATTTACAATTAATCATCTTTGTTATCCCTGAATCTGTTTTTTTCTCTGGCCCCATGCCAATGGAAGTCCTCGTAAACTTGCATGCGCTTCCTTATCTGGTTGTGTAGGCTGAAGATGTGTGTATGTGTCTATTTTAGGCCGGCCTTTCCTCTCTTTGCATTCCATCTGTTTCATTTCCTGAACAGTGCTCATTCATTCACTCCTTAACCTATTACTGTATCACTCTCTCATTCTGCACACTAAACAGTAAATACTGATGCTGTCACTATAGTAACCGCATCCACTGACTGACTCACAGGCTGCTCAGAGGACTGAAGACCTGCAGGTATTGTGCTGTGCGTATGTGTGTGTGTTTGTGTGTGTGTGAG